CAATTGCTACGACGAAGAGTATCAGTTTGAATTGTGATGCTCCGGGGAAAATATCCTTCCACTCGGCCCTATGAGGACGCCCACGAGCGAAATTGAAGGATAGTGCAGAGGGGCATGGCTACAGTTGGTCTGAGCAACTGGCGAGACTCAAGTAAGAAGAAGAACTCAGTACTTAGTATTTTTTTTGGCATTGAGCGAACGAAATTACTACCTTTAAATTATTAAAAAAAAAAAAACAATTTTCCCCTCTCGCCGCATATTCATAGTGTTTCATCACTTTTCAAGTCCCAAAATTCACTCCCACCTTTCGATTTCCGAAGCCATCGAATAACTATGGGGCATAAGCAAATGAAAACAGATACTTTTCTCATACACTAATGCGGTAGATACATGTGTGTATGTATTTAATATAAATAAAGATCAGCGTATAATACGAGAATAATCGTACATCGGAGAGTGAGAGAGTTGGCATAAAATGAATACGATCTGGTGATTTGTATGCGCTTAAGCGATTCTCGCTTGCTGCTGCATCATACGATCCGTTCTAGTATGACCCCTCAAAGAAGAACAACACCACGACTTTGCTGCAAAGTGTGGCAATTGGGGAGCAGTTGAGCAGCGAGCGTTGAGCGACAAGAGACGGAGATTGTGTAATTTTAGAATTCTGTGTAATAAGTGCATATATATGTTTGTACATATATGCGAGATTTATTTTCGTAAAAGTGTTTTCATTCAAGCAAGCGTAATTGCAAACCATAAGAAATGAAATAAATACCAATCAAAAGAAATTGAAAGCGAAAAATATGAACGAAATAAAATCTACAAGAATGCAAAAAAAACCAGAATTAAAAAAAAAATTACTTAGCAGCCAATTTCACGAAAGCAATTTAGGGGAAAAATTATTTTAATTTTTTGAATTTTATTTGGAAATTGTCAGAAAATAAAAAATAATTTACAGTTCAAATTGCTGATGAAACTGGCTGTAAGTTTCCAAAACTTATTTAAAAAAGTGGTCTTCTTTATCGTTTCTACCTTTCAGCGTTATAATAAAAAAATGTTTATGGCAAGAATTTCATATTTATTTCCTTGTAAAATATTTATGCAATTTTTTGTTCATAGTTTCAGGTTTTTATGTATACATGTACATATATACTTTGTTTCTTTTCCAAACTAAATTATATAATAAATCTATCAAAATTTTCCGGTGTTAAAATCAATCTTTGCTTGTTTTTTATTTGTTTTAAGAAATGAAAAATCATATTTATCTGCCAACTCAAGGAAAATTGCTTGCTTTGATAAAAAATTAAGTGTAATTACTCAGCATGTTGCCTTTTTAATGAGCTGTAAGCAAAATAATGCCCTAAATTTATGGGCGGAAGTGCGCTGGCAATAAAAAGTTTAATTTGATTGCCATAATGGCAAATAAAAAAATTAATTCATGGATTCTTCAAATTTTTAAACAATAAGTTTACGGAGTTTTTTCTGCTGTAATAATGGCAAAAGCGTAATCACTGGATTTTCGTAATTAAAAAGAAATATATATTTATAAAACTTAATTTTTATCCAATGTATTAAAAGTTAAAGCTATGGACCGAAATGTCGATAAAACTTTCTAGACATGCTTCCCAACCTTATCAATTTTTTTTTCCTTTCGGCATATGCATATCGAACGAATGCACATCATATTATGCATATTAGAGTGCCTCACCAAGAATTGAGGATTATTATATCTTTAGACTTCCACCAAAATATGTAGAAAAAATATTAAAATTTACGTGAATTGGTCCATTTGGAAAATTCCTCCAAAAATGTCACTATTTTGATTTCGTTGATAAAATTCGTAAAAATTGTATGCAGACCTTTTGAGTTTAAATTCTTCTATCGTCCGATTTTATAGAAAAAAATATTTTCAAAACCTCATTTTATTTAGAAAAAATTCAATATTTGGAGCTATTTTCAAATCGGTCCAGCTCTAGTCAATCCTATTATTTTTTCGAAATATTTTGGCGGAAGTCTGAAAATATAATACATTTTGAAACTCCGATGGAAAAACAGTACCAAATTTTTTTTTTGTATGGAGATTGATGTAATGTACATACATAGGTGTATGGATAGGGATATGGGACGCTCCTGCTTTCTTGTCTCGATGTGTCTTAAATGTACATGTTAAAAATTTCTATGCATTCCAATATATATCAATTTCCTACCTAATTTCATATATACAGTGACGATCAAAACTGTAACATGGTGTAACACTTTTTAATTCAGCCATCGCTATATTTCCAAGTTCTAAAGACTTTCATCCTTTTGTTGTATACTCTTGTTGGTACATCCCTGCTCCGTCTCTCATAACGATTTGAAGTCAATACAACAACAATAAAAAAACAAGCAGACAAAAATGTAAATTGAGGCAGATGTTACAGTTTTGCACTTACTCTCAGTTTTGCATTTGACAGTTATCTCTTACTTAGTTGGAAGTCAGATGACCTTTTTCTGTATTGTAGTTTATTGAAGAAGTGATCACCAGGAAATAATATAGTTAATCAGGAACCATAAATGTAAATAATAGATTTACTGCGGAAAGGCGGGACCGCACGAAAAGTGGCAAACAATTTTGGAATTTGCTACTTGAAAATGTTAAGACTGGGAAAAAATATAGCCTAAAGTGTTCCCAAGAACAAAGGAAGTCTGTCAAAAAATATTACGGTACGATATCTTGTGAACTTAACAGCAAGTAGCGATGCAGCCACTATTACAGAAGCGCTTAAGGTATTAAACTTTAACGCAAATCAATAGACAGCGAGGCGAAGAATTGCCAAATTGAGCGCAAAGGATCATCAAAGAAGAAAAAAGCAAATTTGATCAAAATACATGTGCGAGTGCGGCAGCATTTTGCTGCATCGCACGAAATCCGAACCGTTGCATATTGGGATATGTTAGGCCGTTCAGAATGCAATAAAAAACATATTTTTAAGTTTCAATTGAAGGTTATTTGGTCCGACAAGACTAAATTAATCGCTTTCAATCAGATGACCGGGCATGGTATTGGGTCAAAGACCCAAATTAAGCCCATGCGCAGCATGTAAGGCAAACTGTGAATAACAGTGGTCGGTCAATAATAGTTTGGGGTTGTATTTCAAACATTTTCTTGGTCTGTTAGTACACATTATGCGTGAGGAACAGTATCTGTTCATATTTCAACAAAATTTGCAAGATGTAGTCGAAAAAATTAGAGTTTCTGCTGAAAAATCACCCA